AAAAAAAAAAAAAAAAAAAAAAAAAAAAAAAAAAAAAAAAAAAAAAAAAAAAAAAAAGGAATTGAACGCTCTAAATGAAGTTTCGGGCATGAATGCTTATTTCTTTTAACTCTAGGGCTAACACAATAGCCCGAAGAAAGGGATCCTTTTTCTCTTGCCGACCCAATCCACTCCTAAACAGTGACCCCGTACCCCTACTTTAAATAGTTATAGCTCGTTACCATAGTAACAGTAATTCCTTAAGTTTACGAGTGAGACCTTAAATTTTTTTTTTTTTTTTTTTTTTTTTAAATAATTACTGTTTTAGTTAAATATGATTTCTATTATTTTCAACAGATCTGCCACTTTATTCAGATGGAAAAAACTATTGAAGCTTTAAAAAAAAAAAAAAAAACTGTATTCATTAGAAATATTAGGCCCTGAGAATCTGCCGCTCTCCCAGGTTTTTACAGTTTACATCTTTTGATTTTTCAATATATCTTACTTTTCTGGAATTGCAGCTGGTTTCTTTAACACTGAGGGAAAATTACTCTCCATGTGATCCAATCTTTTCATAATTATTTCCACTTTTTCAAGTAAGTTCTATATGAGTGAATAAAATAGAAAATTAAAAGTTTGAAAATGTGAAAATATGTAAATTTAACAATTTAATAACAGAAAAAATAAATAACGTAATGCTTTAATTTGTTTTATAGATGTATATATTAATTTGTTTCATAAATGAATACACAATGCTTATTATAATTGTTCAAAAAAGGAACACAGAAAGAAATTTAAAAATCCCTATTAAATTATTAATATTATATTCCTATTCAGGGTTGGAGTTTTTGCCGGCAAAAAGGGGGTTTTGCCAGGACAGTGGCAAAACCCTGGTGAAAACCAGCAAAAAAGGGTAAAAACCGGCAAAAGCCAAATTATCTAAATTGCTGATTAAATATTATTACAAAATACTTGAAACAAATTCAAATCAATCATAAGGAATAATAATTTTGATACATTACATAAGAAAAATATTTTTAAAATAAGTGGAACCTGTCTAAATTGACCACCCTCGGGACCAAGTCAAATGGTCACTATATAGAGGTGGTCACTTTACGAAGACTCTTTAAAAAGGACTCTTGAAATAAAACTTGTAGAGAATGGTCACCTTACTCAGGCGTTCACTTTACCCAGGTGGTCACTTTTACAGGTTCCACTGTATATAGTGTTTCTTGCTTGGTTGATTCTCGATATTTACTACTTTTTGTTTTAGCTCAACTAATTACACCACACTTAGATAATTCTGCTGTACTCGAATACACTTACTTCGTGAAATTGATAAAGAAGACATGTCTATCCAAGCTGCAAGGTGAAGAAGTACTTTCAACCCATTTCACGATTCTGCGCTAGACAAATAAATTAAAAACTGAGTCAGTTACAGTTACAGAACATCAACAATTTAACAAGTATTCCTAAAATGCCCAATGAGTTGAAAAAGCAATCAAAGAATAACCGTGGGAAAAATATGCGGTTTGATGGGTAATTCTTAGGAAAAAATGCTTATGTTTTATTTTTATACAAAAAGAAAAAAAATGTAAAGTAAATGCTTATTTTCAGAAAGTTGAAAACTAGTTACAATGTTGATCAACAGATGCCTCTGCTAATAGGGATTAAGTAAAACATTTTTTTTATTAGACATTGAAGTTGAAATATTTACTCAAACAATAGTTAAATTTTGCTTCAGAATGTGCAGCTTGTTATCGTGTAAACTTTGTTTCATTGTCTCTCAATTAGTAGTGTCGTCTATTGAATAGTTTATGTAACTAATCATTAAACTCTTCGTTTGAAACTTGTTTTTTTTTACTAAGGATACTGCAGCAAACAGTCTCCTTCCTTCATATCAGAAATTTTTACAAATTATCATTCAGTTTTGAAACACGAGAAATATAAAAATAATGAATATTTCACGAATATGAAATATATACAATGTAACTGAGGTAAATTTATATTAATTAGGTAAATATCATTTTTAGTTTCAAGAAACCCCTAAATAATGTACTAAAAATTTATATTTAATATTTCTTCGCTTTTTTGGTACTTACATATGTTTATTTAAATTATTTATTTCTTGGGGATGTCAAGATCATTAAGATTCTACTTGTTAAACAAGGATACAAATATTAAGGTATTCATTTTAAAATAAATTAAAAAACTAAACAAATTGGAAATTATTTATTGTTCAAGATGTAACATTAATGAAATTATTCTACAGATTTTTACGATAATTTAATCAAGAATAATTATAGTTTCATTTAAATTTACAAGTTCTTTTTAATAATAGGTTAAATAATAAGGTTTAAGACGTTTTCACACAAGCCATATTAGAATGAATAAAATCAATTTCTTAAGAAAAAAAAGAAAAAAAATGAAAACTGAACACCTAAATTAACTTACGTACCTTTCAAAATGAAGCTAACGTTCAAATTTTAACGAAAAAAAGGTAGATAAGTTCAAAATAATGTTTAATAAGCTTTTTTTTTTGGATATTTATCAAAAATTGCTCCCACTAGCCACCCTCTCTGATGCGGCCAACTTTCCAAGCTTTTAGGACAAATTTCTACTAGTGGTAGCTAAGTTATTATATTATTGTAGTATAGTGGTAGCAAAGTTATATATAACACTCACTTAAAACGCCCCTTTTTTTCAGGTTTCTCGTGGAGAAGCTTTGAAAATGTTGGTGAAATTACCTAAGATTCTAAGTTTTAACTTTAAATTGTCTACTACTTTATTATTTATTTCGCAAAAAGCGTAGTTATTGGTAGTTCTGTTTACATACTTAATTCAATACAGTTTTAAAAACTGTGGTACTTCGCATTTGCGATTACAGTTACAGGATCGCCACGGGCGAATAAAAATGCGAAAAGTGATAAGTAACAAAATTCAAAATTTATTAAAAGAGATTAAATTAGCTAATTTTCATAGCATATCTTTTCAGTTCACTATTAAATGTGTCTTCGTGTACAGGGACGCCAACTGCTCCGTTTTCCGCAAAAATTTATAATAAATTGGTAGCAAATTAAATAGTAAAACATGGGTAATTAGAGAAGCCAACTTGATCCGCTTTGTCAAGTAATATTTTCTAGTTGTAACTAAATTTAAGTTACTTTTAGTTAAGTATTTTTCATTTTAAGTCATTTTTCTACTACTACATGCCAAAAATTTAAAGTATCATATGAAATGCAACTTTATAACAGTTACTTTTTTACTACCACTTTAAAAAAGCAGGCGTAATTATCCATGTTTTACTATTTAATTCGTTACCAATTTATCAAAACTTTTGCAGGAAACGGAACAGTTGTCATCGTTGAATATTTAACTTTTGCTGTACGAGTTAAATCCTAGATTGTAGTTACATTTGATATATTACTTCGAATTTTTGATCAATAGTGGGGGAAACATTTCTTCAAATGAAGAACATTCAATTGAAAATAACTAAAATTTCATTATTACTAGGATATTTTTTTTTTACAAAACTGAGAAAATTGGAATCTCTGCATGAAAGATTTTGTTTCAAATATGAATAATTAGAGATGTAAGTTATAGTGAAAGTTACATTTGAGCATTTAAAGATGTTATAAATAAACAAAAATGAATTGAGTTCCTACCACTTTTAACCTTTTTAGTCGTGCGGCACCTTGCAGTTAGTATGACCAGATACCGCTTCAGAATTATTAGCGAAAATACTTGACTCTATTAATATCTTTGGATGTTAACGAAAAAATTTGAAAAGGCGATTCCTTTTCTTCCTTATTTTTGTTTCATGAGATATACATAGAAATAAATTCAGATTCATGACTAAAATTCTGATAATAAATCAACACTTTTAAAGGTTTCAGTGGATTGTTACTACTGTCGCAACAAATGACAAATAGATAGAAAAAAGAGGAAAAGAGCTAATAATAATGCTGCACCCACCTATGCTGTTGAAATATTACAGGCCTTTAACTGCAACTGAAGGATTATTTATGGTTCATCTCCCAACATTTCCCCCTAATGACATTTTAAAAAACGAGGGGGAAGAATTGTTTTGTCAACACACACGGCTCCTCATTCATTTCAAATGAAATATCCCTGTTGAACAGTCAACAAGGGAAAAAAAATTACGTCAACAAAAATTACGTTTTTTTTAGTACGTAACTAAACAAATAGAAATAAGCAGTTAAAGAGTTGTCTTTTTTTAGACAGATTTAGTTTGAAATGATACTCTTGTCAGATAAAAAAATAGCTTGAAGTTAAAGAAAGAACATATTGAATTCTGGCTGAAATGTTGTTGTTTGAAATCCTATAATTTTGACGGAATTTTCGCAAAAATTAATTTTTGTATTTAAAATGCTAGATAAATGCCGATAAATAATGTAAATAAATTACATTTAAATAAATTAAAAGTATACAGGTAAATAAATTACGCAAAGAAATTGAATAAATTAAAAGACATGTATTTAAATGAACATGTAAATAAATTACAACTCTACAGGAATGCATTTTAATCAGATGGCAGAGAGAAATTAATTTATAATTATAACAAAATTTAATATGAAAAAGTTAATACTCACGAAAATAATTCTAAATTAAAAGAAAAAGACCCGCAGTAGAAAACAACACAAAATTACGTAGTAGTAAAATATCCAAATTTTACTGTTGATAGTTTTTGCATGGTTAAAATTTCCAGACAAGAAAAAAAAGTTGCATTTAGAATCCACCGCTTCGCTTTAATAATAGATTTTTACATCAGAAAATTACTCATGTCAATTATGTATCTCTATTGACAACATTACAAACGCCCAAGGGAACAAACTCATATGAAAGAGTCAATTGTCCACTTCGCGGACATGCACTCTGTACGAAACACCAGTTCAAGTTCAAATATGTCACTCTCTAGTCTCTACCTTACCATGTGCCATTATTTGTTGCATTTTATGTAATCTGTCTATTGTTTTTGCTTATGTTCTCAATACAGGATGAATGGGAAAAGGGCCATTATTGGCCTCAGGAACCCAGCTAGACGAAACAGAATAATATGTCACCCACCATCATCATATCTGAGTGCAGCAAATTTTATTTACGTCACTCAGGGATGAGTTAACCCTTTCGCGCCGAGTGTCACAAATACATGACAGCATAAAACCGTATCAACCAGGGTAAAAAGATAAAACTGGTAATCAAAGTAATTCTTTTTGCAGTTTTCTCTTTATTCAAATTATATAACTCATAATTTTCTGTATTATGACACGCTTTAGGTAAAACTTCTTGCTTATTCGTGTTATCATTATCCACGTTATCAAAAATAATATTTTTTTTATTCGNTAAGTCTGTCAAATTAGAAACGATTACATTTAAGTTATCGTTTTATATTTAATTACATCCTGATTTTATACGAATGCTTTTCTGAATCACCCGTCCCCAAGCGATTAAAGCCCTTAAATGGGCTGTATACTCGGATAACAAACTCGCATAGGTAAAATATGCCATATAAGTTGCCAATCCTAACTCAATTTTTTCAGAACAAAAAATTATTTGAAGATTCCTCCCTGAGACCAGTTGCACACTTTTTTACGAGTGTTGCAACACTGACCATTTGAGACAAACTCAATGGAGCGTAAATAGTGAATTTTATACTATGGCAATATTTTTATATGGCACGTACTTATGTATAAAATTCTATACCAAAATGGACAATATTAGTATAGAATAACACTGATATAGATCTGCAATTGCATACCTGCCAACTTTTAATCCCTTCCATTATTATTTTCCCCAGTGGTATTAAAATGCAATTAAAACTTCAATTTTAAGCAAACAAATACGTTGTATNGCTGCTCACTACGTGCTCTTGCGCGCCGAATCCAATCAATTAAAAATGAAAACTGTTGCAAGCGCGAAAAAAGAAATATCATCGGTTTTATTGATACATACATACGTACGTAGACTTAGACTGAGTTCTTCTTCGGAGTCCCTGTCCGCGAAGCGGACACTTCACTCCTTCATCATAATGTAGTGCCCGTAGGCGCCTGTGGTACTGTCTTTAGCAAGAGATACAAGAGAAGTAGCAGAAGCATTGGTTGGCGTTGGTTTATACCCTGAGCCTGGCTATAATACTGTAAGATATTTGATCAAAAAGTTGATAACTGATAATGAGGGGGAGAAGTTAGGTTGAATGCTAGGGGTGGATACCCCCGAGTCGGCGATCACATGAAGATCCTTTCACCTCTCTGGGGGTATCCATAAGAATAATAATGAGGGGGATTTATTATTTGTAATGCTTCGAGAGGATGCAATCTGATAGTAAGAATGAGGTAATTGGGTTGTGTTGGGTCATAATTGGCAGTAGTTCCTTATTTAAGAGTTCGACATACGTACGTATTAGCGTTTTATATAATATAGATGCTTAATTTTTGTAAGAATAGTGGTGATCAATATCATTTAAAAATTAAGATTATAAAAGTAAAAATAGTTTATAATTACTACCACTTTAAATATGAAAATAAAATCTTCGGGAAAATCCGGAAGAGTTGGCAGGTATATAACATACATCGACAACATTACAGGCGCCCATGGGCATCACCACAGATGAAAGAGTCAATTGTCCGCTTCGCGGACAGGCACTCTGTACACTACACCAGTTCAAGTTCAAGGCAGGTATATATAAAATGCATTGACACGAATCAACATGATTTGTATTGTGATAGATTTCATGAAAATTGACTATTCTTTATGATAAAAGTGAATAATGAAGAGTATGTGATTATTGAGAAAGTGTATTGTTGTTGAGAGATGTACAATAGAGTTTGACGAACTTCTAACAGGAAGTAAACTTTTATTATTCTTTTTCTCCATTATTCATTTATATGTATATGTAAAAAATACATCCTTATTTAATGATATTGCTCGAGAAATGTGCTCATAATTATTTCTCTACTTATTTTTAGACTACAAGGATGGTAAAGAACCACTACAGCTCTCCTTCAATTCATTATGAAGGGGTAAAGCGCCACTTCACTTCGGCCTCAGGCAATCCGACCAACCGACAGGACTAGAAAAATATGTCATATAAATATTTATATAACTACCAGTTTATAATTGCAATAAAAGTAAATATTAATATATATTTCATCATGTCAATAATCTAACTAAGAAAAATTCTTTATTTCGAACGATTCCCTGACAATTATTGATGTTGGTGGATATTTTAACAAACGTATCATTAAAAATGATCCGGTAACCTAAGCTAGTGAAATTACTGTAAGCGTCTTGAGCTGACCTTACGTTTTCCCCGGAAAAGAGAAAAAAAAATAAACTTGTAACATCATTCGATATTAACCTCTTGGGGACGGGTGATTCAGAAAAGCATTCGTACAAAATCAGGATGTAATTAAATAAAAAACGGTAACTTAAATGTAGTCGTTTCTAATTTGTCAGACTTACTTTGCTTTTACTTTAATTATTGTTAGTTTAATCATATATATAATCAATGTTAATTCAAAGTATAACTAAATAGTTTTATTTTGAACAAAGTAATGGTGAATTAAATAAACTAAACAATTATAACTCCGCCCACAAATAAACTGCTAAAGAATTACTTTGATTACCAGTTTTATCTTTTTGCCCTGATTGATACGGTTTTATACTGGCACGTATTTGTGACAGTCGGCGCGAAAGGGTTACAGGCACATACCTTCCCACTTTCATACCTTCATACTTCCCACTTCCATATTTCTTGCTAAATATACCACTTCATTGTTAAGTGGTTTAGAAGCTGAAATTTTCATGCATACATTCTTTCTGTGGTTGGTTACACAGAAATTAAAATATCGAAATTTGTTTTATTTTCGCTACCGATTTATTAAATTTTCAAGGAAGAAATAAAACGCAAAAGCAGCTTTAACACGTTCACGCCGGGGTACCCACCGGTGGATCACGCTAGATTGTCTCATCTTGGCAGCGCACCGGAGTAAAAACTAGTTACAATAAATTTAATTTTTTAGTTTTTTTCTGGGAATAATAAAAGTCCATAACTACCAATTGTTTTTAGCGGATGCAACTTTTATATTGAATTGCTTCTTCGCCGTGATAAATTTCCTTGCAGTGAATTGTTAATGTTAAGAATAGATTAACTTCTCCCGAATATTATCTAATATTGAAATAGTTCTTCTACCAGTATTTTCACTTTTCCCCGGCGTGAATGTGTTAAAATGGGTTTCTAAGGAGCGGAAACCTGAGTTTTAGCGATTTGATGATGGAGTATTCTTCGCAAATTATGGTCTAAGCTATAAAAAATTTAAAACGCTGTCAAAACCTAACAAATCATTATCAAGGAATGCGGGATAAAAAAAAAAACTTTAAAATCCATTTAAGGCGGATGTTAAAGCTGATTACTGAAAACGCTTTCAAGTTTCATCATGCAATCAATCTGGTTTTGTTGTTTACAACGATGCCTTGTCATGGATTTGTGAGATTTTGATTGTGTTATGTTTGATAAACGCGTTTAAATATTAATCCGCGACTATTGATGTGCATTCCTTTACTTTCAACAAGTATTCTAATAATATGATTTAAGGGTGATGAATACGGAACACTGCATGTTTGTAAATGCAATAGTAATAACACTTATTTACTTGTTCTTCTTCGTCCACTTTTCTCCTGTTGTATATTTTGGAATGGATGTGTTTGAAATTGTTCAAAGTGGCCAGTTTGCGCATAAGAGCTATCAAAGTTGTGCTTCCACATTTTGGCACTCTGTTGTAAAATACTATCTGCTTATCTAGTTGAGCTGTATCTTGGAAACAATCACACACTGAAAAACAAAATTTGTACTTTAACACTAATACATTCATACATGCTTTAGTCAATAAATTGTGCATATAGAAAAATGTAATTTAAAATAATAAATGTCCTAGTTGGAGTGACATATAAAGTACATAAATAATTTTAAATTTTCTTCATCCCTTATAAACACGATTCTTATGGGGCAACTGTGAACATGGGCTAGAGTAGACAAATGAAATATTATTGTTAAACACTCAATAATTCCCTGTACATTTTTGTAGAATGGCAAAACTATGTTTCACTTTCATGAGTAACAAGACAAAATAATAGACTGTTAAATGTCAAAATAGAAAACAAGGTTGGTAAGACAGAATGGCAAAACTGTGTTTGATTTTCATAAGTAATAAGACAAAATAATAGACTGTTAAATGTCAAAATAGAAAACAAGGTTGTTATGGCAGAATGGCAAAACTGTGTTTCACTTTCATAAGTAATAAGACAAAACAATAGACCGTTAAATGTCAAAACAGAAAACAAGGTTGGTATGGCAGAATGGCAAAACTGTGTTTGATTTTCATAAGTAACAAGAATAATGAAGATTGTTACATGACAAATTCGAAAACGAGTTTTTATGGTAGAATGGAAAAGCTGAGTAACACTTCCATTAATAACAAGGAGAAAACAATAGATTCTTAAATAACAAACGAGAAGACAAGGTTCTTATGGTGTCAAAGTAACTTCTTAAGTTTTATTTTAATTGCAACTTTAGACTATTTTTATTCATCGTTTTAAACACAAGAAGATATTATGCCATGAATGAATATATTTACTTCACATTTTAATACTCACATTTGATTTCATAGTATTCTGAAAATTACGTCATTTCACGCTTGTTTCTTAAAACTTTATTTTCATTTTAGAAATGAACCTTCTAATGTTTAGCACATTTTGAGAAATACTTTAAAAAAATGCTTTTTAATCGTATAAAATGTTTAATTTTTGAAAAAGTTGCATACTTTTTTTAAAAGTGGCCACTGTTAAGAATGTTATACCTTACCTGTAGCAAAGGTTTTCAATTGTGCCCTACGCTGATAGGGCCTTACCTTCCAATTTGTACTCTTTTCAAAAAGTTTTTTTTTCCTAGTCGTAGGAATTCTATTTTAATTGAAATAATAATTTGGTCTCGCATTGAAATTTAGAAAACACTCAAGCATAATTTAAAAGAGTCAACCGGCCTACAATATAAATGTTTCAAATATTTAAATTTAGAGGAAGTCAAAATTATTTTAAACCACATTTATTCAATAAGAATAAAGTTTGAATGTATAAATTTTGCTGCCACTTTAAGTGTAAAAATAATCTTCAATATGAAATAGATTGGCAGGTGTGACGTAGAGAAAAAACTGCTAAAAAAAGTAAATAATATTAGCTTAATAGATTTTTGCTATTTATTAGCAACCTCTTATTACAATTTCTGGTGAGTGTGCCCTATTCGAAACGAAGAAATCGAAGAGTTTCTTTCAACAGCCTGTTAACAACACTGTGTTAATCATGCAAGTTTTTAGACATTTTCAATCCAAGAACGTAAACGTTGGCATCTTGATTACTGAACTTTCGAAAAATAATACGATACCGTTAAAGATTTATTAGAATATTTAATATTCAAGTTATGGACAAAATCATCCCCATAAATTATTCCCGTCTAACATTTTATTCCAAGTATGGGGAAAGGGGAAAACGAAAAAGAAAACAAAAAAAAATCATGATAAGCCTATAAAATAAAATTCATGGCCTCAGGTTGGTCAGGTAACCAATTTTTCTTTTCCATGATGAGCCTTCAAGAATGATGTATGGAAATTGTTGATTGGCAACCAGCAAGCTATTTTTTTTGTCCTTATCTGATAAAGAGTGGCTCTAAAAATGTTCTAAGAGAATTTAAATTGATTTAAAACAGGCCCAGATTTAATCGTCCGCTTATCTTACCGAGAAATAAAAAACAAGTAAATAGTAACATCCTGTGTGGGAGTGCCGCCATATTTGAAAAAAAGATTAACCTCGAACAAATAAATGTAACGAACTCAGCAAATAAAATTTAAGTAAAAGAATACAAAGGTTTCAATGAAATCGTGTTTAACTCCCATTAGAATTAATAGTTGAATTTTTTTTTTCACTTAAAAAATATCCAACTGTAAATGTGTCTTGATGATTTCATATTTGAGATTTATTGTAAAATATTCATTATAATACTCAATAATTTTAATAGCTTCATTGTAGGGTGTATTACAAAAATTTTTTTTCGAGTATCAAAATTTAAAGTTGATAAAATGTAGTCACAATGGTTACATAGTTACTAAAAATCTTCGAGTAAAATTGAAAAATACTTCGGTTTGTCACAATATCACTTTAGTCTCACAGTTACCAAAATTTCTTTAGTCAAATTGAAAAGTCCCCATTTAAGTCTCTCGGAATTTATATCGAATCCTTATTTATGAAATCCTTAATTTCCACATTTTTCACTTTTTCACCCATTAAGTTAGGTAATTATATAGATTTCTAGTTAGATTTTTTATAAAATTTTTTATACTTCCTAAATGTTAACCTACGAATAATTGTGAGTACTGAATTTTCTTATTTATTCAGAAATACGTAATACTTTTGAATAATTTATTTTTGTTTCACTGAAATGTCTTCTATAAAACATAGTCTTTGAACTTTAAATGAAAAGTTACGAAATATTTCTAAGATTTTGAAAAATTTAAAACTTGGGGAATGTTTTGAATAAGCTTACAAATTTTTAATTTAAAATTCTGCGTCTAAGAAGAATAAATAGGAAAAAGTTCCAGTGAATAAAATGAAGCAAAAATAAATTATTTAAAAACATTTCATTGTAATCGAATAAATAAGTAAAATCCATACATATAATTCTCCGTACATTAACATTGAGTAAGAGAAAACATTTTCTTCTGTTAAAGGTACTCAAAACGCCGATCCTTGTATATTTCAATAATATGAATAGGACAATTACAAAAAGAGAGATGTCTTATTGCCTGTCGTTCTTTTTAAATGTGCATAATAAATAAATTAACCGACCTGCCCTTAATAGGGTAAAATTTTTTAAATTCACAATTTAAGAAAGATTAAGTTTCACAACATAATAGGTAATGATACTAACAAATTACAACAAATAGGCAATGATACAAACAAATAAGTTGCACAATAATTCACCACTAAAAGTGGGTTGGCGGCTACTACAAAATTAAATCCGTAGTAAAAAAAACCATGGAAAAGTAAAATCATGCAAGGGGATAAAACACCAGTATTAGGCAACCAAGTATAAAAGATGATTTTGAAAATGAGAAAAAAAAGAGTTAAAAGGTGTTAAGATAGATAAATCTAAGCTACGAGAACAATAAAATCAAGTAAATTGTAAATTCAAAAGGGCTTGTAAAATCAGAAGAAGTTAAAATCAAAAGGGTTTATAAAATCTAAAATAGTTAAAATCAATTAGATAATTAGTTAAAAATAAGAGAAGTCAAAATAAAAACAATTAAAATAAAAAAAAGGATGCTAAGAACAAGAAAATTGGTTAAAATTCAAAGCTAAAACAGCCTAAAAAGTACAAAAGTGAGTTAAAACAATCATGACTTCGAAACAAAAATTGAACAGAACATTAAAATTGTGTATGACTTTTTTCTTACCGTTACCATAACCTCCAACGATTACGGAATTTCCATAGTTTTAGAAAATGTTTATCCTGGTGGTGGCAAAGGTAATGTGTGCAGTGTACTATTATTCAAAAAAATTAGAATTCAGAAAACTTTATACACCATTTTATTTAAATAATTTTTAAAAAATATGTATATAAAAGATGATGATGAACTTAATATTGCATTTGTGCTCTATTAAAACTGTAATACAAACTCTGCTTGTTAATTTTTGCTTCTGTATACTGTCGCTGGAAAATTTGCTACGTTGAATCTAAATTTTGAATAATATTTTTGCTTAGAAAACTCTGGCCGGAATTGTTATCTTCCGCTGCTACGGACGTTTTCCAATTATGGACTTGTTCGCGTGCCTTTGAATTTTCACTTTTATTTTTCTAAAATATTTTAATTTCATGTTTATTGTTATTGTCTAGTTATTGTCGAGAGTTTCATTAAAACAGGCTCCGAAATGCTGTTTTATCGTAATTTAATGAATAGGTGAGCTTGTCCAGTTTGTCGCAAATCATTAAATTAAGATAAAAAAGTTAATGCTGTATCTATTTGAAAGCAGTTTGTAACAATAATTAATAAAAAACAAAAAAATAAGATAATTTAGAAAAATAAAATTATTGTTCAAAGGCACACGATGTAACAGTCATAATAGGAAAAAGCCCTTAGCGGCATACCATAACGTTTCCGGTCGTGGTTTCCTAGGTAATTCTTAATCCTTATGATATGCCGCAAGATTTACTGGACACCCTGTATATATCTATAAACTTGGCTCATTCTGGGAAGTCTAATTTTTCCTTTAATTTTTTTCTTGGTAATTATGTGAGTGGTGCGGCAACTTTTTATGGACTTAAAATTTTGAATAGCGAAAAAAAGTTTTACTAAGCGATGTACCCTATTCCATAATTAATTGCTAACAATAATTTAAAGAAAAAAAAACGAAGTACCGTTTCCTGAAAGGATTTTAGACACTAATGAAATGAATGACAATGAATATCAATTTTTAGAAAGTTATAAATTATTATCCTCATTCTAATGAAATACTTGGAAAAAGAAAATAAAAATTCAGTTTTCAGTCGCAAAAAAGTGAAGACGATGCTTTCAACTTCTGAAACTAATTATCCTAAACAATACCTCTTTATGCATCAATCATTTCCTACAATGCAAGCCATCTTATCAAAATAATCTGACAAAACCCAAACAGACGGATTAAATAAGGTTCTGATAAAGTCTTGTTTGAACTGTCCGCTATTTTTTTCCAGATTTCTAAGTACCCAGATAAACAGTAAAAGAAGTAGTATACATTGTTCATTAC